TCCGCAGCTCCCCGCCGCCGCCGCCGCCGCCGCCCCGGATGCCAGCAGCTGCTCCCATCTGCAGTGCAGCAGCCCCGGCCGCCGGCCGGCCCACCCCGGGCTCCCGCTGGAGGAATCGTGCCAGGACGCTGGCCCTACTCGCGGCTAGCCTGCTCGCCAGGGCGCAGCGAGGATGGGAGGGTCGCAGTCTCTGCAGCCAGTCCCAGCCAACGACCTGAACCTGGAGGCTTCCGAGGCTATGTAAGTGCTCCGCCGGGCCGCCCTGGAGGCCCCCCCCCCGTGCCCCCAGGGGGAGGCTACCAGGGCTTTGTTAGTGCCCCTTCTCCTGATGCCCGGGCAGCCTGGAGCTGGGGCTGGCCCGGCCGTTCTCTCCAGGCAGCCGTGCATGGTTTTACCTGGTGGCTCCCCCTTCTAGCATTTACTTCCCCTTCTGTAATGAGCATCTGGCAGCCCCAGGATACTGCCGGGGGCAGAAGTGACCCCCTGGAATTTTACGGTTGTTGAGCAGCCCAGTGCATGATTGGGGGCTTCTTGTGTGTCTTCACTCTGCACCCCCGGCACGGTGGTATTTCCTGCAAGGGAACAGCCGGGCCTCAACAGGGGCCTCATGGGAAGAATCCTTGAGTGTGGCAGTGCTGTGCCCATGGAGACAGACCAGTTTAGGGGCAGCCACTCACGTGGCTAGGCGGATGGAGTGGAGCATCGCTGGTATACGTTCAGTCCCGTTAGCCGAAGCGTCCATGCACTCACTCGCTGGTGAACACTGTCGATGACAAGGCCTCTTGCTATTATTAGTAAAGGCAGCTGAAGGGTCCTGTCATTGGTCCATTGGTCGAGGCAGCATTTGACTGTGCATCCATCCAGGAATCCGATCATCTCTCTAAACCACAGAGCTAATGTGCTCAGAAGTGGCCCTTATCCTGGCTGGGTTTTTATTAGGATTGCCATTTCTATACGGTCGTCTCCATTGCCTACCCGGGCATGCCTGGAGGATGGGGCTTGTTGAATAGATCTGGCTGCCGAGCTGTATTTCAGCAGGTCAGGCTTGCGGGCCTCCACATCCCAGCCTTGCCTGCTCTCCTTTCCCAAAGAGAAGAATGTGTTTCAGAGAGGAGTATTTGGTGGGGATGCAGGAGTGGGGATGGTCAAGTGGTCACGATGTGTAGATTAAAGGGTTGCAGGGATTGGTCTGTGTGTTGTAGTAGGGACGGGGTGCCATGTGGGGCTTCCTCACTCGTCCCCGCTCCTGGGTTTCAATGAGGAGCTGGCTCAGCGCGGTGATGTAATGCTAGGCTGAGTGAGCCTCATGGTTTTCCAGGCTCTGGCTCTTCAGCAGCGAACCATGCTAAGGAGCAGGTGTGCACCGATCATTTGTCTTCCTCCCCGTAGCTCGAGAAAGCATCATCTTACAATGGAGGCGCATCGTGTTGGAGGATTTTAAGTGCCGTGAGCCTTGAGCTCTGCCTGCCCTGTTTTTCGTTCGTGTGTCGTATTGTTAGATGCGTGGAAATCATGTACTACCACACAGGATTTGAGCCTAAGCCTAAAAGAACGGTTTCAGCCTATTTTTAGTTAAAGGGCACTAACTGGCTAGTGAGCTGTCAGGGCTCAAACCTGTCTAAAAGCTTTAGAGAGACTTGGAAAAGACAGTGTGATCGTATGTTTGGGAAAATACACTCCTCAGCCATTGGGAATTCAGCTCACCCGTCCCTGGCATCCCCTCCCTCTTTCCCAGTTACGTTAATAAATGACCAGGATTCTGCTGGTTGAGGGCTGAGTTGGGAGAGATTCTGTTAGGTAGAAGCTGCCTTTTTGGATAAGGTCCCCTAAGTCTACCCTGTGGGAATAAGTGGTGTTTAAGTAAAACTCCAGGCCAGACAGCCACATCGTGATGGAAGCTGCTTCTCAAATATTTCATGCGCGAGCTGGTCCATATGTGCCAGGCTGAGCCTTCTTTCCCTGGAAGTGCGACTTCTGAAATGTCTCTAAATCGAGATCTTTAAGATGGTATATTTACTCCTAAACAGAATCCCACCCTCCATCCCCTAACATTTTTGTTTTGAAAAAATGGAGAGAGTGGAAGTGCTTGGGGCTGGTGCCATACCTGGCAACTATTCTCTAAAATCGCATCTCTGCTGTCTGAATAACTGGGGCTTGTTTTTCTACTACAGATTTGCTTATTTCCAGTCTAGAGATTTTAAAAAGTATATTAAGAGAGTACCCCCTTTTTGCACAGGTTCGTGTCTTTCACAATAGTATGCGTTTCCATGCACATAAAATCACATGCACATGAATAATACGCAAGACAGCGTAGCATATGGTCCATGGCAGAAAAGACGCTTCCACTGTAAGATAATGCTGTCAGGGCTGCAGGGACGGAGATGAACTCGGTGCACGCCTGCCGCTAGGTACATCCCATGACAACTGGTATCTAAACTGAACATCTATATCTCTTATTTTTTCTGGTGGTTCCCTGTGAAAGATCAAATTAAGGGAGGCCCATGTGTAAGAGTGAAACCAAAAGACAGAGGAAGACAGGGATGATTTGGAAATCCCTGCAGGACATTTTTTTTTTTTTTTTTTTAGTTTCAGGATTTCTGTCTTTCTGGTTTCAGGTTGGGGTGCCTTTGGGCAACTTTTGTGGCCCCAGCTGATAGCTTCATTCTGTACAGGAGTGCAGTGGGATAAGGAAGGAGGAGGAAGATGGCGAGTCTTGTGTCTCCCCTCTGTGGTGTAGCAGCAGACTGGAGGGTGGCACATGGGATTGGGAGGTGAGGCCGGGGGACTGAGGTTCAGGTGTTGCAGTCCCTTGCTATTCCCGGGATGGTCCACAAACGGCAGCATCAGCAAATGGCAGCATCAGCTTCCCCTAGCTTGTTAGAAAGGCAGAATCTTAAGCCCCACCCCAGATTGGCTCCATCAGAATCTCCATTTTAACCAGCGATTTGTGAATATACCCAGATGATTTTTAGGCAGAAAAGTTGGGGAAGCCCTGAGCTAGGTGAGTCTCTCCATCCTGGTCCCTCAGAAACCGTTGGCCACTTCTCTAGCTGCTGCTTTCTTGTCTGGGAAAGAAGTTCTGGTAGCGACAGTAGCCATTGTTTCCGAATAGAAGAGGGGTAGCAGGGAGAGGAGAATTCTGCCACAGAAAACACTTAATTCTCAGCACTGATGGCTGGGAAACACATCCAGGAAAGGGACGGGAAGCACTTGAATAAATGTGGTCTGAGTCTGTTGATTAGACCCGCTGTCTGTGCCCTTCTTCCGCTGCAGCATTAAGTACTTTGTCCTTTGCGTAGCTGGAGACCCTCATTCCGGGGGCTCCCTCAGCTTCCTGCAAATTCCCACACCCTGGCCACCGAGGGGCAGCCAGGGGCCATTAGCATCTGAGAGTGAAAGTGATTGTTCTGTGGGCAAGTTCAGCCTGCTTCGTCTGTGGCACCACTCATGACCTGGGCTCTAAAAAACATCACAAATAGGGAAACCCATGCCTGGGTAGACCCGTGAGGATCAAAATAGGAGGGCCAGGATGGATGGAGAGAAGTGATGACGGCCCTGGTGATTGATGAGACAGGGGAGGGAAGGTTAAAGACAGTGGGGAGTACAAGTGCAGGGTTTATACTCAGATGACCAAGAAAAGGATGTGGCGTTTGCCAAAACAAGGAAACGGGATTGGGAGTGCGTTTGGGGGAAGGTTGATGAGTTTGGGCTGGGATTTGAGATGCAGGTGGGATCAGAATTATAGCTGAGAGGGAATTCCCTGGGGGTCTAGTAGTTAGGACCCCGAGCTTCCACTGCAGGGGGCACGGGTTCGATCCCTGGTCAGGGAACTAAGATCCCGCATGCCGCGCAGCATGGCCAAAAAAGTGGAAAAAAAAATAACAATTTTAAAAAGGCATATATATATATATATATATATATGGCCAAGACAGTGGCCAGGACCAGAGAGGCCTTGGGCACCACCTGCACCAGGTTCAGCGGTTCCAGGACAGGGGTTGCACCTCTTCGTGCAGCTGTGGTCGCAGACGGGAAAGTCGAGTTTTGGTCTCTTCCATCCTCGTGTGGCTGGCTCCTCATCCTGTCTCTCAATCTGGGAGCTGCGTAGAGGG